GAAGGAGAAAGACGAAAGAAAAAGGAAGGAAAGGAGGCAGGAGGGAGGGAGAGAAAGAGAAAGGAGAGAGATTTTAGGGAATAGGTTCCTGCAGTTATGTAGACTGAGAAGTCCCAAGATCTGTTAACTGTAACCTGGAGACCCAGAAAACCCAATAGTACAATTCCAGTCTGAGTCTGAAGGCTTGAGAAGCAGGAGGGCTGATAGTGTAAGTGCCAGTCTGATTCCAGGAGCAGAGAAGGACTGTGCAAAATCTCCTTTACTCAGTGTTTTGTTTTACTCGGGCCTCAGTGGATAGGATGATGTCCACCCACATTGGGGAGGGCAATCTGCTTTACTGGGTCTACTGATTCAAATACTAGTCCATACAGAAATACCCTCATGGAGACCCCCTGAATAATGCTGAACAAATCTCTGAGCACCACACGGCCTAGCCAAGATGAAACATAAAATTAAGTATCATAACAGCTTAACTTCTAAATTAGAAACTTCCTACTCTGTATATTTAGGTTCCAAATCCCATCAAGTCAAATGGATCTTAGGAAGTGTTCCAATTCTTAGTTATTATTGGCTTCAGGCCTAAAACATTATAAATCTACAACATACTATCATTTCTAAAACTTCAAGAAGCTTTATTATAGTTGATCTTGCTTCAAGAGAAAAGGCAGCTTATACAACTTAGACAATGTAATAACTGTAATCCAAGAGAAGCTAGACCTACAAGTCTAAGGCCCTAAGAAAAAAATTAACATGAGCTGTATTGTTAACGGGACCCCCAAATCCCCTGATTTTCTTTTGGAGGTGAAAGTGGAGTTGATTAATAGGGACTACATTCCTTGGCATGGCATCCTAAGGATGATGCGTGTCATTGCTATTTCTATGATGCTTTAGAAAGAAAAACCTAAATGATCATATATTTTTCTAGAACAAGAAAGTGTGTTTCAGGTACTTTCACTACCTGAGTTGTATATTTTAAAAGTTGTGTACACACACACACATAGAGAGATTATAGAGAATATATTTGATATGGTTTGGATGTGTCCCCACCCAAATCTCAAATTATAGCTCCCATAATTCTCTGCTGTTGTGGGAGGGACTCAGTGGGAGGTAAATGAATCATGGGGGTGGGTCTTTCCCATGCTGTTCTCATGATCGTGAATAAGTCTCATGAGATCTGATGGTTTTGTAAAGGGGAATTCCCTGGCACATGCTCTCTCTCTTGCCTGCCACCATGTAAGATGTGACTTTACTGCTCCTTTGCCTTCTGCCATGATTGTGAGGCCTCCCCAGCCACATGGAACTGTGAGTCCATTAAACTTTTTTTTCTTTATAAATGACCCAGTCTTGCGTATGTCTTTATTAGCAGCATGAGAATGGACTAATACAATATCTCTACAAATATACAGTAGAGAAATGGTATAAACAAGTAAAATTTCTGGCTGGGCATAGTGGTTCATACCTGTAATCCTAGCACTTTGGGAGGCTGAAGTGGGCCAATTGCCTGAGGTCAGAAGTTTGAGACCACCCTGGCTGACATGGAGAAACCCCGTCCCTACTAAAAATACAAAAATTAGCCAGGTGTGGTGGCACATGCCTGTAATCCCAGCGACTTGGGAGGCTGAGGCATGAGAATCCCTTGAACCCGGGAGACGGAGGTTGTAGTGAGCCGGAGATCGCGCCATTGCACTCCAGCCAGGGCAGCAAGAGCGAAACTCCATCTCAGAAATAAATGTAAAAAAATAAATACATAAAATTTCAAGTTTTCTCTGAGGCTGCCTCCCCTTGAAGCTCTTCTATCCTCAGGATCACTGTAAACTTTGGTGGTTTATGCTGGGAAATCATTTTTCCTTAAATGTTTATATTCAGTTCAAAGTGTTCCATTTCCATGAGTAATGACAAAACACAGTTTCTCCCCTGCCTCCACTCCAGTGGCATGGAGAAGAAGCTACTTATATTCATAAGAGTTCTGGAAGGCAGTCACCAACTTTTTATGAAAAGGTAGAGACAGGACTCCAGATCCCATTACGCCAAAGAGGAAGCCAAATGCTAATTTAAAATCTCATTTTGGCCTGCCGCAAATGTGGACACCATTGTTAGGCCAGTTCTATATACCACAGGTACCTCTTGCAAGTCTCTTAGAACAAGCTGTTCCCCTCAAAGGATTTTCTTCCAAGGAACCAGAACATGGGTTCATTTTGGCCTGGATCAGCTCCTCCAGGAATGTTCCAGGGAGGAGGTGGGTGGTCAGCCTCCTGAGACAAGAGTGTGTAGAGGTCAGGATATGGGCTCTGAGCCAGACTACCTATGTTTGAATCCAGGTTCTGGGTTTATGATCGGGGAATGTGAGAGAGTTATACAACCGTTCATGCCTTGGTTCCTCCTTCTATTGAATGGGGCAAATGATGGTACTTAACTGATCGAGTTGCTGTGAAGATTAAACAAATGACACATGTAAAGTGCTTAGTACAAGACCTGGCATATAATAAGTGTTAAATAAGTGCTAGGGAAAACTAGCCAGGCATGGTGGTATATACCTGTAGTCTTAGCTACCTGGGAGGCTGAGGAAGTTTGCTTGAGGCCAAGGAGTTTAAGGCTGCAGTGAGCTATGGTGGCATCACTGCACTCCAGCCTGGGCAACAGAGTGAGACCCTGTCTCTAAAAATAAAAAATAATAATAAAACAAAACAAAATAAATGCTAGGGAACATGTTGCTTCTGACTTAAACATCCTCCAGGATTAATCCAGGTCCACAATCACCCAGGGGAGTTGTGGGCAGTCTGTGGGCACCTGTCAGGCTGCATCTGTTGGGTAGCAGAACCTGCTTCTTTCTAACTCTAAGTCTGCCTATTTCATCTATCATGTCATCAGAATTCCTTAAACAATCTTATTTAACAGAACAAACGAATTTAAGCTAATTCTACAATGAAAAACGTGAGAGTGAGTCATGGCAAACTTTAACTGTAACCTTGTTAAGTGGAAATGGAGACAAATATTTGGAAAAGATCTTTAGAAATTGATAGATTCCAATGTGTTGAGGTTCTTTTAGGTCAGATAAGTGTTTCTTGGCTTTTTGCTTTTTATTTGTAAGCATGTCTCTCTCTCTCTCTCTCTCTCTCTCTCTCTCTGTGTGTGTGTGTGTGTGTGTGTGTTTATACCCATGTCCCTTATTGAGAGCTCTAAATCTCCTAAGGACGGGAACCATCTTAGCCACCTGACAAGAGAGAAGTAACTTCCATGCATTCGTCCTTCTACCCTCAAGAGGGATCCTCTTCAACCCGGGATGGTATGGGCATAGAATACACACACACACACACACACACACACACACACACACAAGCACACATATATATATACACATACATACACATATATATATATTTTTTGAGTCACAGTGTCACTCTTGTTGCCCAGACTGGAGTGCAATGGCGCGACCTCCGCTCACCACAACCTCCACCTCCTGGGTTCAAGTGATTCTCCCGCCTCAGCCTCCTGAGTAGCTGGGATTACAGGCATGCACCACCACACCCGGCTAATTTTGTATTTTTAGTAGAGACAGGGTTTCTCCATGTTGGTCAGGCAGGTCTAGAACTCCAGACTTCAGGTGATCCACCCGCCTCGGCCTCCCAAAGTGCTAGGATTACAGGCATGAGCCACTGCACCCAGCCTAGGGCACAGAATATTTTGGAAGCCAAGGGATAGATTCTGCGGCTTTCTATCCCCCTTTTTTCCTTTTCTCTCTCCATATTCCTGGCTCCAATTCAGGTCTTTCTGTTGCCATGGTAACCAACAGTCTCAGAACACAGACTTCTGACAGCTGGACTTCTAGCCACTGAGACTCGGGATGTGAAGGATTTCTCATGTCTCCCCTTTTTGCCTCAGGAGTTAGCAGCACTTCTTCCATGTGGGCAGCCACCAGGGCAGGGTGTGACAGTGTGTGTACGTGTGTGTGTGTGTGTGTGTGCACACGCGCATGAGCACATTCTTCCAGTCCTACTTGCTTTCCGGGGCTTCACGGAAAAAGCTAGACTAAAAAGTGTCATCAGATGATGGGAGGATGGGCATCTAAACAGCGAAACCTTTCTGGAAAGTAATTTGGTATCAACTAGCACAAGACTGTAATATATTTGTGATGTTCGGTCCATTAATCCTACACATAAAAAAATAAGAGTCATAGTCAAAGATTTATGGAAAAGCAGGTTTACTACAGATTTATTTAGTAAAACAATAATTACCACCTAATGGTCATTAACAAGAAGTAATTAAAAATTGCAGAGTAACCATATATATGTTTGTTGTAGGCTATGCCATAAAATAATCTCAGTTTCAACTGATATGATAGCCACATTCACATATATATATATAAAATACGTGGATATATTGTATAAATGTACAGATATATATGTGTGTGTTTATATAAATAGAAAAGATAAGGAAGTCCATCAAAATGTTTTGATAGTTATTACCTTCAGAAGGTGGGACTATGGCATGTTTGTTTTCGTCTTCATACTTTTCTATATTTTTCCAATTTTAAATAATGATCTTTTTATTTTATGATACAAGATCTTACAACTGTAATAGGACAAATTATGAGAGGTGGAGATGCTTAGTAGATAGGATTATATCACAATGAAGTAAGTTTTGAAAGGTAGATGGTTGCCTCTTCTGCCCTTCACTGGGAGATTGTAAAAATAGGGTAAGACTTCAATCTAAATGGGGTAGTTCTGAAGAGAAAAGGGAATGGGGCTGGGCATGGTGGCTCATGCCTGTGATCCCAGCACTTTGGGAGGCCAAGGTGGGTGGATCACTTGAGGTGAGGAGCTCGAAACCAGCCTGGGCAACATGGTGAAACCCCATCTCCACTAAAACTACAAAAATTAGCTGGGCGTGGTTGCGGGTGCCTATAATCCCAGTTATTTGGGAGGCTGAGGCGGAAGAATCACTTGAACCCAGGAGGTGGAGGTTGCAGAGAGCTGAGATCACACCACTGCACTCCAGCCTGGGTGACAGAGTGAGACTTCATCTCAAAAAAAAAAAAAGGGGGAGATGAATAATGCTTTTGCTTAAGTACCATGATTCTCTTCTCCCTGATCCCACCTACTTTTTCTTTTTTCTTCTTTTCTTTTTTGAAGCTTCTCGAGTTGAGACAGATTTGTGCCTTTGAACTCCATGGCATATTCATCCTCTAACAGCGACATAGAGGACTACAGCTCCAAATCCAATTCCAACCTAAGCCTCTCTGTGGGCTATTTCCCCTGTGAGGACACCCCCTGTGAGGACACAACCTCCTGTGAAGATGCAACTTCCAAGGATCCTTCCATCCACTTTCTCCCTCCCATCGAAGGGGCATGGGGGACTAAAAGGATAAGGAGATGCATGAAGAGACAAGACCAAATTCAGGATGAACCAGAGCAGTTTTGCAAACTAAGCATCTTCCTGGCCTGGGACGTGGACGTCAGCTCCAACAACACAGACTCAATAGCTAATAGGCTTCTAAATGGAAACAACCTGTGGATAGATGAGTTACCAAAAGAGAAAACAAAACTGCTGACAAACTGAATAATCTTGTGCAAGAGTTTCAGACATTTCTATAAAATCTGAAAAATAATGAAGATGATGACACCGTGTTTCCTGAAACGACTCAGAAAGATTTCCAGCTGTCCAGCGGCTCCCCTCCGGAAATGGTTCAGGTCAGTCATCAAGAACTTGATGCTTGTCAAGACCTGCCCAAGTGCAAACCACCAGAAAATAAAGATGTTATGCAGTCTCCACAGACTCCTCTAAGGCTTAAGGAACATGAGCTGGCTGAGGAGAGCAGAGATGCCTCACAGGACAGCAAGGGATAGGCCTGGGTTGAACCACAGAATCTTACGACCACCAGGAAGCAGGTCCCAGGAGGTCTGACGTGAAACCAGTGGGAGACAGATAACAAGGAAGGGAGTCAGGGTGGAGTTTTAGGGAAAAGACTGAGGAACGCTTAGGGAAACAAGAGGGTAGCAAGCAAGGAGAAGGGCTAGCAACTATGTCTCCCTCCCCACCAAAAACGTACATATTTAGTATTAATGGGTATTGAAACTTTGCATTGACACTTGGACTTTTTTTTTTTTTTTTTTTTTGAGACAGGTTCTTGCTCCATTGCCCAGGCTGGAGTGCAGTGGTGTGATCTTGGCTCACTGCAACCTCCACTTTCCGGGTTCAAGTGATTCTCCTGCCTCAACCTCCCGATTAGCTGGGATTACAGGCATCCGCCACTCTAACTTTTGTATTTTTAGTAGAGATGGGGTTTCACCATGTTGGCCAGGCTTGTGTCTAGCTCCTGACCTCAAGTGATCCACATGCCTCGGCCTCCCAAAGTGCTGGTACTACAGGCGTGAGCCACTGCACCCGGCCTACTTGGGCTATTTTTGCTAAAAGGATGTGAGTTCCACAAATGAGTAAATGTTGACTTGGCTGCTGTCATGGTTACACCTACCTAACACATTCTTTATTTTCTTGGCAGATGATAAGCCAGGCAACTGCAGGCCAAAGGACAAGTGCTCCAGAGATCTCAATCCTGTCAGAGCAGCCGGAGAAGGATGACACTCCTTCCCACACACGGGCCCAGTGCTGCCTGAACTTTGGGTGGGCCTTCAGCTGGCTGAGGCAATGTATCCTCTCCCCTCTGCTGAGGAGGGATCACCCTGTGAAGGCCACCAAGAGTCCCCATCGGCCAGCACCAAGGAAAAGACTCTTTCACAGACGCAAGAGAATTCATCCTCAAGAAACCCTTGAATTAGGACATTCCATATAGACAGATTTTAAAACTTTTTGGAAAGTTGAAAATAATCCATAATGAGGATTCCATTAATAATCTCCATCAGTTTATTTTTTCCTCAATAAACAAAATAAATGCTCTTGTTACCCATGTCTTCCTCTTCCAGCATACCATCTTGACTCACATTTCAAGCATATGTGTTGTCTAAAATTTCCTGAAAATTCTTTCTCTGGAAATTTTAAGTAGTATTATGCTTCCTAAACTCAAGTATTATTTTTCTCTCCTCTCACCCATTCTTACTGTATTTTACCCTAGTTTATCTATTTTATGTATTTTAACCTATTTTATCATTAACCCAAATCCCCATTTTCAGTAGACAGCAGCGTGACCCGTCAGATTTTCATGGTGGCAGGATGATTTGGATTGAACTTGCAGGACTTGAGCGAGCGGGAGTGGATATTGAGTCACCGAGGAAATTAATTTCAATTTCAGGAAATCGGATAGCAGTTCTGATACTCCCCAGGGACCTGGGATGCAATGTGAGGATTGTGATCGCCACTTAACCACTCTAAGTCTAGCTGTCCTCATTCAAAAGATGTGGAAGATAATAATACATACCTCACAGGGTTAGTGTGAGAGTTTATGAGGTAATACAAGCACTTGATAAATATTATTACTGTTGTTGCAAGTAGACATTCTCCTGAGGAACTCTCCGGAGAACTTGTTCAAGGGATATCTAAGAATGAGAGTTAATTAAGAGTCAATTCTCATTGAAACATTTCCCACACAGAGCAGTACTTACCAAAAGTTCAGAGTTTTCAGCAAATCTTAACCAAGTCCTCTCCCAACCCATTCCACTCTGCCCTCTGAAACTCCTTTGCAATTGTCATTGAACGTTCCACTAAATGTCAACTTCTTTGAGGAAGGTTGCCCTCAGCCTTCTTGTCCTGACTCTCACCTCCCCAGCATTTCTACCATCCTCTTCATTCAACCACAGGTTCACTCAACATCCTCCTTCTTCTGTTGGCACTACCATCCTGTGTGACCTTCAGAGTTTATGTGGCAAAGCATATGACTCTTCAGTTTCAAATTCCTTCCTTTCCTCAATTTCAATTCCCTTATCCCTCTCCTTCCTCTCTTCTTCCTTCCTTCTACATATATTTAGCAAATAGGAGTGCCAGATACCTTTCTAGCTTGTCAAAACAAAATCCCTCAATCTTTAGGCTCAAGTGACTTATTTAAGAGATAAAGTCAGGCAAACATATGACTATAAAGAGTATGAGTGATAATACTGTGTAGTGGGTAAACATTGAGTTCTAATGAAGTAATAATCCACTCAGCATGGGGAGGTTGGTTGTAAAAGGTTTCCTGTTCCCCAACTTCTATCTGCTTCCCTCTAGATCCAACCCATACACCTCCTTCCCAAACTTGGCATGTCTACCACATCTAGTAACATCTGCCTTGCCTTGCCTTTCTCTTCTCCCAGATACTTTAAAAATCTATACTCATTAAGTTCCCGAAGGGGACCCTCTTGCTCCTCACTGCAGCCAACACACAGAACCATAGGGATTTCCCTCTCCATTTCCTGACTGCCTGGGAAACTCATCCTTAAAGATCCTGCTCTAGGGTTACTATTGGGCATTACTGATCCCTCAGGCAAAGGGATCATGACCCTCCTTTTGCTGTCCCCTAGTCCCTGCCCTGCCACCTTCTTGCCATGACCTGTACTTTTCAGCCCTCTTTATAGATCTATTTTATCTGTAGACTGTGAGATCTAAAGGCAAGCACCAGGTCTTAGTTCCTTTATATTGCAAATCCTAACACACTGGGCTGGGCGCGGTGGCTCACACCTGTAATCCCAGCACTTTGGGAGGCCGAGGAGGGTAGATCACTTGAGGTCAGGAGTTTGAGATCAGCCTGGGCAACATGGTAAAACATTGTCTGTACTAAAAATACAAAAATTAGCCAGGTGTGGTGGCAGGGGCCTGTAATCCCAGCTACTCAGGAGGCTGAAGCAGGAGGATCATTTGGATCCAGGAGGCAGAGGGTGCAGTGAGCCGAGATGGCACCACTGCACTCCAGCCCGGGCAAAGGAGTGAGACTCCATCTCAAAAAACAAAAAAAAAAACCCACAAAATCCTAATACAGTGTTTAGTACAAAGTAATCTATCTCTCTGACTCTATGTAATTCTTTAAATGTTTTTAAAGTATCCTGTCTATATAAATTTTAAAAAGTGAAATACAACAGCTTAAAGAGTTGCTATTCTTTAAGTCAAAAGAGACTGGTCAGTAGGGTCAGAAATAGGAATGAAAAGGGAGGCAGACAAGAAGAGAACATGGCCATCAAGTAGAAGTCAAGTGAGACGGCCACCTATCAATTGAGAAATCTATTAAGACTAAAGGAATTCAGAAACTACATTGAAAATTTAATTCAACAAATATGCCTGGAGCCTTATTGTTGCTTTAGACTAGACACTATGATAGGCCTGAAAGAAAGATGACATCTCTTACTCTCAAGAGACTTGCAACCAGTTTTATTATTTTAATTCTTACTCTAGTAATTAAGCTCTAGGACAAACTCAACCAAAATACTTTAGAAGACTGTCTACACTGAATAAGATGCACTGTTCTTTAGTAAGATTTCTGACAAACTTGTGTTTATTCATCAGTGTTTTATAAACCTGTTTGGCAGGTATGAACCTGTCCCTAAAATTTAAGCAATGTACTCTGCAAGCCTTTACAATAAAGTAAGCCTTCCATACCCTTTGAGGTTGAGTGTCATGCTATATATTAGAAAGCAGGACAAAGTATTTTAAAATAAGAAATATCTCAGTATCTCTTAATTATAGTGTCAAACACGTTATTGGCCAGGAGTGGTGGCTCATGCCTATAATCTCAGCACTTTGGGAGGCTGAGGTGCAAGGATCGCTTGAGCCCGGGTCTTTGAGACCAGAACATTCACGGCTCAAGAGGATGCGTGGGTCCAAGTTTAACTGGCCACAAGAACAGTGTCTAAAATCCTCTTACAAAACAAAAGAAAAATGAAGCAAGTTATAAACGATTTCCTAGAGAGTGCTAAAGTCCTTACACCAACAATAAACAAAATTTTGAAGGAAGAGTTAATTGCTTCAAAAATATGTCTCCTCATTCTACACTGCAAGTGGGAGAACTTATATAGCATACAGGACAATCTCCAATTTCAAGATGGACGGGTGGGTTTTATATTGCAATGCCTGGAGTCAATCTTTTCCTGCCACCTACTAATACCTCAAACAAATGAACAACGCTGTGCTTTCAGAAGTGAAATAAGATCTTCATCAGATAACACTCACTCAGTGAGCCAGTCATGAGCAGAATGAGTAAAAAGCCTCAGGATAATTTCCCCCAGAGGGTTATTAGCCTAGATCAAGAAGTACCAGGACAAAACAATTTCCGCTTTATTCCACCTTTCAAAGGAATTCCATGGTTTTAATGACCATTTGATTTCAATATAATATGCTTTATAAGGAACTACTTCTAAGACATTTTCAAATGGTATGGTATACACCATAGCTTTTCAGATTGTGGCATTGAAAGAAAATTCATTTTATTACTACTACATTCTCTCAGTCCAAAAGAAAACCAAAATAGCAATTTATTTAGTTTTTCCTCATCTGCATCAGTAAAGATTAATTTAAGTATAAATCTCTAAAAGAAAGAGCTCTTACCCTAGGGTAGAGGTTTCCTGCATACCCACTCAGAAAGGAAAAGAAAACCCTTCAAACATCTTCATAGTTAATGTGTGTTTGGATAGTTGTTTTCAAGTTTCACTTTCATCAATCCTTCTGTCATGCATCTTTGGGGCCAAGATTTTCCTCAAGCAGGGCACGGGGATGGAAAGGAGAATTTTTCTTCAGTAAAATCACTTTAGAAATCAAGTTAATACCATATTGCAACTAACAACTTAATAATTGATTCATATAAGGATCAAAAATAGATGCTAAAACCATTGAGTGAATCACCGTCAGGGAAAAAACATGCACATGGTCTCTAAGATTACCCCACAGGTGCCTTCTTAGTCATCAAGAGGATTAGGCACCTTTACAATGGAGAGGTCTGGTCAACACCAACTTAGCCAAGTGATTAAACTTAGCGTAGCTAATATCATACACCTTCTGAAGAGAAGCAATGTACACTTGCTAGCAATGTTTAATTTGAATCTAATTACGAGGACACCAACAGTTAGATGAATCTAGACTATAGGATATTTTACCAGACAACTGTCTTTGACTTTTAAAACATGTTAACACAATGAAACACAAAAAAGACAGGGAGACAAGACAGTTCATAAAAGAGATGAAGGAAACATGACAACTAATTGCTATTTGTGATTTTTGATGGAATCTTTGATCAAAACCAAAAGCAAAACAAAAAATACAGTAAAGGATATTTTGGTTTTGAATGTGGACTAGGTTCTTAGGAAATTTAGGCTGAAATATTTAAGGGTAGAAGTGTCATGATATCTGCAACCTACTTTCAAATAGTCCAGGAAAAAAAAGACAGAGAGAAAACAAAGATGGCGAAAATATAAAGAAAAATTCTAGTAAGTAAGTAGTACAGATCTCTATTAAAGTGTTACATCTGCTACACTTGTATGACAGTAATATCTTTTTTTTTTTTGAGATGGAGTCTCACTCTGTCCCCCAGGCTGGCGTCTCCCGAGTTCACACCATTCTCCTGCCTCAGCCTCCCGAGTAGCTGGGACTACAGGCGCCCGCCACCAAGCCCGGCTAATTTTTTTTTTGTATTTTTAGTCGAGACCAGGTTTCACCATGTTAGCCAGGGTGGTCTTGATCTCCTGACCTCGTGATCCGTCCACCTTGGCCTCCCAAAGTGCTGGGATTACAGGCGTGAACCACTGCACCCGGCCGACAGTAATATCTTATGATATCATATATATTTAAAACATTAAAACATTTTCTCTAAATAAAACCTAGATACTAATTTGATTTCTCAAGTGATCTAAACTGGGCAATTCTTTAATCTGGATTTCTTCATTCATCCTGGCACCTGCCTTTGGGTTCACAGCTGGCTGCAAAGAATTTTCAGTCTCATAGATTGGTAAATATTCATCCTTCAAGTCCTAACCGTAAAAAGGCAAATTGGTTCAGTTGAAAGCAGAGTAGCATCTAGGTATTTTTCCAGAAGATGTAAGATTTCATGAGTTTATCTAGCTTTTGCTGAGATTAAAAAGAATAATTTTTGCCAAATGGGGAGATAGGTCCTTAGCCCTTTCAAATTGTTGCAAGTTTCAAAGCCTGAATATCTGATGTCTACCTTCAAAATATTGTCTTTTAAATTTTCTGTTTCTCACAAATCAAGAACAGCCTGACACTTATAATACTAATAATTTCTTCAAATTATTTGGACATTTTCTTTTATTTCGAGCAATGACAGATTGTTCTGCTTCTTCCTAACTAACAAGAAGAACAGGCATAGTCACTATATAATGTACCGTGCATTCTGCAGGACTTCTGAGAGTGAAAGAGGGTGCTCTTATAGTCTTTTTTTTTTTCTTGAGACAGAGTCTCACTCTGTCGCCCAGGCTGGGGCACAGTGGCACGATCTCTGCTCACTGCAACCTCTGCCTCCTGGGTTCGAGTGATTCTCATGCCTCAGTGTCCCAAGTAGCTGGGACTATAGGCGTACACAACCACACAGGCTAACTCTTATATTTTCAGCAGAGACAGGGTTTCACCATGCTGGCCAGGCTGGTTGGGAACTCCTGGCCTCAAGTGATCTGCCCACCTTGGCCTCCCAAAGTGCTGGGATTACAGGCATGAGCTACCATGCCTGGCCTATATAGTCTTTATGAACATTTTTAAGCATGTATCTCTCATATGATTAAAGCCATAGATTCTCTCTTAAACTAATGCACATATTCATATATACTGACCGCTTTGCAAATAATTTAAAAAGTTCAAAGACTCTCTGAATCTTATTCTTCAATCACAGGTCAAAAACCCAAGTTCTTAACTTTGACTTCCTGGCTTCAATTCCCAGTCCACCACTTACTTGCTGTGGATCCTGGGGAAGTTACTTAACTTCTCTGTGCTGTTTCCTCATCTACAAACTGCCATGCTAATAGTATTAGCCTCAAAGGGCTGTGGTAAGGATTAGTACCTGGCACATAAAGAGTGCTTACAAATTTTACCTGCTGCTAGTTGCTGTCACACGATTCCTCTGTTTTAATATCTGCTATTGCTCCTAATGACTACAGAATAAAGTTCAAGCAAACTACCATTAAATCTCTCTATAATCGGATCCCGAGGCAATTTTCTAGTCTTATTTCACAATACTCCCCCACTGCCCCTCACACTCCAGAACCTTTATGTTACTTGCTCCTTGTACCTTCATGCTCCAGTGCTTTTGCCTATGCTGTTACCTCTTCTTGCCCTAATGTGTTACTTCTCCAGTCTACCCTGCTGCCCATCCACTCCCAAATGGGCATTCAAGACCCAGGTTATAGTGAAGCTCCTCCATAGAACAGAGCAGGATGGAATTAACCTCACTCTTCCTTATGCCACCACAGCACTTCACTTTTACCTGTAGTTAGTGTACATTTTATCCAGACTTACAAAAATGTGCACTTATGTCTTTCCCTCACACTAGACAAAAGCCCCTATGTTCTGCTTATCTTTGCATGCTCCAAAGCTCCTGGCCCAGTTTTGTGTACACACTAGCTCCATGATAAATAATTTGTAAAACGAACAGTTCATCTGCAGGAAATAATTTAAACAGATAATATCTGAAATTGAATGTCATTTCCTTTCAGAAAACCTAACTAGCTTCTACTTTAATTAACTCCCGTCCTTGGATATTTATATGAGGGGGGTGCAGGGAGACACAGCACACA